ACAAGCCGCCAAGTGTAATTTCGGTGATCAACTTCATGTGCAACTGAGAGATCGATTAATTGCAGGAATTAATATGCCGAGTTTGGAAAGAGAGCTGTTAAAAATGCCAAACTGTTCCTTTCAAGATGCTAGGACTGCGTGTATTAACTACGAAGCAGTGAATGAACTTGATATCCAGTCGATAAAGATTTCTGTTACTTTGCTTAGTCGTCATGATGAACTACAATCTCAGGGTCAATCAAATTTGCGTTCATTTAACAGTGATTCCTATTCTCGTGTAAATATGAAAGGTGTTTCAACAAGGAACTACAAAGCAAATCACAAAGGTGAGATGAAGTTTGGTAAATGTTTATCATGTGGAAAGTTTCATGCTCGCAATTCATGTGTATTTCGTAATGCTAAATGTTTTAAATGTGGTAAGGTAGGACACATTCAGTCAGTATGCAAAGCTACTGTCCATTTTGCTTCAAGCTGTACTAAATCTTGTAATTTAAATTTCAATAATTCGGCTGTTTCTAATGATCATTTATCTTTATCAACGATTTCAAAAGACAGTGCAGAGTCATATGGCAGTTCAGAGTTAAATGAAATCCAGAATTCTTGTGAGACAACAGTTCCTAATCAACCGATTTATCAGAATTCTCATGCTATTGTACCAAGTATGACTTTTCCTAATGATTCACATATTTCTAATGAAATTACTTGCAATTCTGAGGAAAATATGTTAAATGAACCTAATCATGATCGAAAACCTTATGTGGTTTGGGTAGATGCTGATTTTTCTAACGATCCTACGCTCTGCAATGACAGTCCTGATGAATTTCATGAGAATATTTCAGAAGAATCAAATCCTGATGTCATATCATATATTACCTATCCTCATAATGTATTTGATCCTTGTGAAAAACCTGCCCAATGCGAAGCACGAGTACTAAGTGACCTCGAGTTTTATTACATTTCGAATGATTTCATATCAACTGCTGTTTACTCTTATCACAAAAACAGTTCTAATGTTTACTCTAAACAATGTGAGAAATATGTTTTAAATGAAGCCACATTATTCATAACTTGGGGATATAAAGATCCAACATTATTTCGTGGGGGAGGATAGGATTGAAAAATCTATGGTTCAAATTCTAGATATTAATGATTTCAGTACAAAACCGATATGCTGATTGTATACAATTCCAGGTGAGTCTGTTCCGATTTCGTTTGTTAATTCCAATACTAATGAGCACTTTCTAGATACTACAAAGTTTTTATCTTATACAATGTCGGACAGACTCAGGATGAACTTAACAAGAAGACGTAAAACCGATTACAAACACTTATACTTCTATTTAAGCTGTGGCGGATGTGGTGTTTGAATTAACTAATGACTCTTTTGTACTGGTTGAATGTTTGATTTCGAATTCTAAATACAGTACATTCGTTGTGTCTGTGTCTTCTTAGTTCAATTGCGTTAATCCTGGAATTCCTAGTTCATACTATAATTAGAATATTATACAAACCCACAGCCTTCTAAGGACAAACTAAAAGTGAGTCACACTATCAAAACTGAAGGTGCACCGGTGTTTGCAAAACCCAGGAGACTAGCACCAGATAAGCTCAAAATCGCTAGGGCTGAGTTTGATTATATGCTACAATTGGGTATTATCCGTCCCTCTGATAGTCAATGGGCATCCCCTTTGCATATGGTCCCAAAGAAGAATGAAGGTGACTGGCGACCGTGCGGGGATTACAGAGCCCTCAACCGTCAAACCGTACCAGATAGGTACCCAATACCTCATATCCAAGATTTCACCAACGGTTTACAGGGTATGAACATATTCACTAAAATTGACTTAGTCAGGGCATATCACAATATCCCGGTGGCTGATGAAGATATTCCCAAGACAGCTATTACTACACCCTTTGGCTTATTCGAGTTTGTACGCATGCCATTCGGCCTGAGAAATGCGGCACAGACATTTCAAAGATTCATAGATAACCTACTTCGAGATATGCCATTTGCGCAGGGGTATATAGACGACTTGTTAATTGCCAGCCCCGATTTGCAATCACACGAACAGCATGTACAAGCAGTGTTGAAAAGACTGGATGAACATGGAATAAACATACATCAAAGTAAGTGTGTTTTCGGTGTTCAAACATTAGAATTTCTCGGTCACACAATAAGCCCAGAAGGGATTAAACCTATCAAAAAAGAAGTGGATACCATCAAACAATACCCCGTACCTAGTTCTCTAACACAACTGAGAAGTTTTCTAGGCCTAATTAACTTTTATCGCAGATTCATACCAGGTTGTGCACAATTAATGCAACCTTTGACAGATTCACTCAAAGGAAAACCAAAAGAATTCAAACTGTCTTCTGACGCCATCGAAGCTATTAAACAGCTTAAAGATAAACTGGCTCAAGCAACTACGTTGATATATCCGAATTCTCTTTCCCCACTTGCTTTGATGCTGGATGCTTCAGATAAAGCAGTAGGCGGTACCCTTAACCAACTGGTTAAAAACGCCTGGAAACCAATTGCTTTCTTCTCGAAAAGACTCGCTCCAGCCGAAACAAGGTATTCTACCTTCGGGCGAGAACTTCTTGCAATCTACCTGACCATTAAACACTTCCGACACATGTTAGAAGGTAGGGAATTTATAGTCTTTACGGATCACAAACCTCTGACGAATGCATTAAAAGCGAGAGCCGATAAATACTCACCTCGAGAAGTCCGACACCTTGACTATATATCACAGTTCACAAGCGATATCCGACATGTCAAAGGTCAGGACAATCAGGCGGCAGATGCTTTATCCAGACTAGAAATGAACGTGCTACAGCAGTCTACAGTAAACTTCGAGACGTTAAGACACGAACAAGAGCAGGACCTAGAATTACAAAACCTACTTAAAACAAACAATTCAAGTCTTAATTTAAAACAATTCCCATCACCTATCGATGGTATTCTAATTTATTGTGACACGACCAAGGCAATGCCGCGACCTTTCGTTCCCAAAAATATGCGAAAGTTGATATATAATAACTTTCATTCTTTGTCTCATCCTGGCGCGAAAGCTTCAACAAAACTAATCAATGCCAGATATATATGGCCGAATTTACAGAAGGATGTACACAAATGGGTTAGAGAGTGTTCAGCATGCCAACAATCAAAGATTAATCGTCACACAAATTCACCCATAGGTGTTTTCTCGCAACCAGATGCACGTTTTGCCCATGTACATATCGACTTAGTAGGTCCTTTACCACGTTCAAACGGTTTTAATTATCTTTTTACATGCATAGATCGATTTACCAGATTCCCTATAGCCATCCCGATAGCGGACATCACAGCGGAAACAGTAGCCAAAGTTTTCATGCAGAACTGGGTAACCATTTTTGGTACACCTATAACAATAACGACGGATAGAGGAGCGCAATTCGAATCCGAACTATTTAATAACTTGGCTAAACTTCTAGGCTCCAATAGGATACGCTGCACTGCATATCATCCTCAGGCTAATGGGATGGTAGAACGTTTTCACCGTCAGCTAAAAACCGCCCTTATATCTCACTCAAACCCCAATCAGTGGACAGAATTCCTACCGTTAGTTATGTTGGGAATACGAACATCTGTCAAAACTGACGCACAGTGTTCAGCTGCGGAACTGGTTTTCGGAACAACTCTGAGACTACCAGGTGAATTTATTAACCCTAATACTAACAGTCAAAAACTTAATTTAGAAAATTATGTAGATCAACTACGGGACCACATGTCTAAAATTAAGCCGATTAGTACTCGTGAACAATCGCGCGCCGTATATATACCTAAAGACCTAAGCAATTGCACGCACGTCTGGATAAGATGTGACAAAATAAAAGCACCACTGAGTCCTCCATTTGAAGGTCCTTTCAAAGTTGTCTCAAGAAAATCTAAATATTTCGTGATACAAAAACATGGAAACATCGACACAGTAAGTATTGATAGGCTAAAGCCGGCTTATCTAGATCATGAACCACCATACGTGTTGTTAGATCGTTTAACTGACAAATCCATTACGGAATCGAAATGTAAAGATAATAAATCTTTACAAATGACTAAAACGGTTCGCTGGGCACATCCAATTAGTCAGTCAAGGATGTTGACAGTTTCGGCTGCAGGATAAAAGCTAACCACGCAGCTAATCACACCCTGCATCTACTTAAAAATAATTTTTTTTCCTCATTCCGCCTCACCGACAACTCCCCAGACCTTTTACCTTTGATATATACGTGTTATGTTAAATATTTTTTTTAAAAAATACTGGACACATAAGCTAGGTATTCCAAAACGATGGCTGAGGATTTCAATCAAACTCATACAACTAACACTGGCAAATACAACGAATTCAAAAAGCAACCCAGGCGAGTTTTATAATTTCTTTTTCTGGTTAATTAACTATGTTAGCTGTACTTCTTATATATTTATATACATTTTTCACGTAGACTGGCTATACATATATACCATATGAACTACTTCTAAAGGTTTTCGGTTGAGGATATGTTTAGTAGCTTGATACGCTAAATACTACTATTAATAAGTGGTTTTCTAGACAAAACATTTTGGGTTAAACCATGGTCAAGTACTTATTAAAGTTCTCATCATTTTTTTTCATGTTTAGGAAACTTACGTAATGACTTAACCAGTTTCCCTGCAGCATGCTTTTCAGTGTGATCATATAACCCATCTTTATTGGCAATATTCAGATTTTTTTAATTTCTGACATTTAAGAATCAATAACCGTGAAGATAAAGTACAGTGTGTTACTGTAAGGTTACTATGTCAGCCGCATTGATTCCACATACCTAATTTTAAACAACTTATAAGGGAACTGTTTAGTAATCATAACATTGAACTGACAATATGAATATCACGACTATGCTAACGTTAAACCAATTATTATTAGTGGTCCATACAAAGTCCTGGAACTTAACATTAGCGTTATAAAAAAGACATTTTATGTCAATAACTGATATATATATATAATTCTTTGTTTTAAATATAACGTAAAATGGAAATTTACTAAACGTAGTTTTTTTTTCTATAGTAATAATATTCATGTAAACAAAGGACTTATACTTTTCCAATATGGCACTTTGATATATCAATCTGTCCTCTTGTCATTTTTTCTCTCATATGTGCGCGACTTACGGGCAACAAACATCGTATTGAAGGTGGGTCTGGTGAACAAAAACGCAGGCCCCATACGCACTCGAACCTCTGCCCTCCTGAATGCTAGACCGCGTGCTTAGCCGTTAAGCCATATCAGACCACGGAGGAAGTGACTTCAATATTTCCTTACACCAATTAATCACTCATAATACTAATGAGTAATAGGACTTACACACTTCTGAGGTGCAAACCAATTCGTTACTTGGATGAATTGACGAAATATTGCTTCAATATATCATGCATACCTAAATCAAACAAGAAAAGGGTATTTGACACAACCGTACTTGATCCGCATACTCTACACAATTTTTTTTGCTTCTTAACCGTATATTCTTTTCCGTTTTGTGGAGTATTCTGATGCACCCTTGGGGCAACGCTCCTAGGGTATCGTCCACTGATGGGGGTTGCGAGCACTTGAAGGTCAAACTGTCGCAAAATGATTGGTGCGTCACATCGACAATTCGTGAAAATTTTCAGAAGCGGTCAAATCAAGACATTTTTGGATTTGAATTGAGTTCAGCTACACTATGTCTGATAACGTTCATTCTTCAAGTAACGAAGACGATTCCATCGTGATGATGCATGATATAGGCCGAATCTTCAATGATATTATGTTATCTCGAAGATTTACAAGTTGGGACAATTTTGAGACCTGTTTGAAAGAAGTACATAAGGTAATATGACCTCTGTGGTTAATAATTATTTTTTTAGTATACGCATACTAAGTACGTTATGTCAGTATGCAAAAAGAACAGTGATGATCCAACTCTAAAGTACTTTTCCGTGAGATATGTCTGTACATATGGACGTAAACGCAGTTCGTCAGAGTCAGATGCTTGCGTTCAGGATGTAGATGATGATAGTAATAATCATTCTTCTGAAGAGCATACAACTTCTAACTCGCCAACACAACCTAGGCAAAGGAGACGACGTCGGTCATCTACGTATGCCTTACTTCAAATGAATTTATCCTTCAGGTCGAAATATTGCCACTGTAAATCAGGATTTTGGGTCCGGGCACTGAATGGTGAGCTGAAAGTCACCTCTATTAAAACCGTGCACAACCATCCTTGCACAGAAGGATATATTTCTGTCGATCCATCGAAACGACAGTTGACCTCAAGTGAACGCTTGTATTTAAGAACGTTTCTACTGAGTAATACACCAACTCGTAGCTTACGGTATCTGGTTTCTTTGAAGTTCAATAAACAACTTACCAAGGACGATATCGCCAGAATGCGTTCACAGTTGTACCCAGGTTGTTGAACTCACATTGTAATTAATTGAGTTTAGACACTAAAAATATCAATAACATTTTACAGCGCATTCAAGGTAATACTGAAGTTAAAGTATTCTATGAAAATGGGAACATGTCTATGATTTGCTTCAGCCGCAGAGAGCAAATAGCTGTTTACCACGCGTTCCCGGAAGTAATATGTATTGATTCGACTTATCAGACCAATAAAGTCGGGTAAGTGACGATTAGTAATAAATTTATCTGAAAGCTTTCCACTGTTCCAGCTAGTGGTCACTGATAGTCTTGGGCAAGGGCACACTGTTATGTATGCTCTTTGCAGTCAAGAACGACGCGAAGATATAGAAAAACTATTGGAATGTTTTAAAGAGATAATGTGCGGTACTTATGCTACACGCACGTTCATTATGGATTCGGCAGCGACCGAAATTTCGGCTGTGCAGTCTACGCACAGTCATTCTAACATAATACTTTGTTCATTCCATGTCCTAAGAGCGTTTTTCAGGAAGGTATGTGTTAGCTGTACAAATTATTTTCTGTAGTTCCGAAATCCTGATGTGCGCAAATGCTTGGAACAGCTTGTGAAGACTAGACGGTCTGATATGTGAGCTTCGCTTTTCATAGCGCATTATATTCAGATTTACTCGAAAGTACGAACATCTAAGAACGCATTTTCCACGGGCGTATGATTACATAAAAGATTACTGGATTGCTAGGAAGTCAATGTGGGCTCGCTGTTACCGGCGACATGTATTAAGCCTGGGCAACCAAACAAACAACCGTGTTGAAAGTGCTCATAAACACTTAAAAGAATGTCTCAGAAGAGGTGATTCCCTATTATTGACGTTCTGGAAAATTTGGAGTAAAACAGACATTGATGTACGTTTGCGTCCTTATGACGCTGTGAAGGATCTTCAACGTTTTCCTATTCTTCAGGTAAGAAATATAGTTAAATGTATCATTAATTCCAGGTTCCAATGTCATTTCGAACTCTTCTAAATGAGTTCACATCTTTTGCAGCTAAAATTGTAGCTGTAAATTATAAACGTGTTCGGACAATGAGACACGAATTTATAGAAGGAGAATACATCCGGTGCTACGACAAGGGTATGATGTATGTTGTTGATACTTCACGTGCACGATGTGCTTGTGAGCGTCTCAATGACTACATGCTGCCCTGTGGTCATATTTTGTATGCACATTCTAAAGATCTGATTCGCGGAGGTATGTGTGTTCCTTTATCTCTATAAGTTTCGTAGACTTATTTCGACATAGCAACCGGTGGACAAGAAAATACATAATGGACCTGGTTCTTCGTGCGCTGGACAACATCTCAATCTCTACAGGGAGTGATGATCTGCTAGAGAAGTTCACTAGCAACTACCACTCAATCCATGCTCTTAGTGAACCTATGGCAAGTAAACTCATCCGTTCATGCCTCGAAGCATCGGAAGACATATGTGCACAGTTGATGAGTTCAGTCGGTGCTAATGATGAAGCTGCAACGTCAGAATCCATTGTTAATGCAGACCATAGTTATGCTTCTTGATAACAAGAAGTTCTAATATTGTAATCTTTTTAGTTTTACATAAATTCATTTATATGGCGATTGACTTATTCTTATAGCGTAACGGCAGGGAGTGTACTGTGCAGTCTTATGTGGCTGTGAGACAGGGATGTTGTTTCGCGTTCTTGTGTAATAATTACCAGTTTGGCGCACACGCGAATAGTTATACATACCGTTTACCAAATACTGCTACCTTGAACATGGTGTACCATACTAGTAGTTCGGATTTCGACGTGTCACGATAGATAAGAATTGCCGTAATTAAGAGACTGGTGCGTTATAAATGTAAACGTTTATTAAAGTTTGAATCTAGCACAAATGGTCCATTAATAAATAACTTCTACTTCTCAGGAATTGTTCCCGTTAGGTCTGTGAACGCATGCGAAGCTAGCTGGAAATAAGATAGACAGGAAAGTTATTTCAGTATAAATGTTTACCAGAAACTAGTATAAAAACGGAAACCAGTATCCAATTACAGATCGAAAGTGCATTTAGCACACCCTTCCTTTGGATAGTCAATCACGCTTATTTCCTTTATCTCTTGCGTTGCTTAGGAAAGTCTGGGTCACAACATACACGGATTGTATTATTTAATCCTTTGGGCAGGTTGCACTTCAGAAACTTAGACGATGAACATATATAAAGACTACTGTGTGAATTTACTTTCAATCGTCCTGTGTAACCTGAAATTCTTGATGCATATTCTATTCTAGTCCCACGTAAGTTATGAGTAATTGTCATTTACGGCATCAGCACGTAAGCTAGACAGGCCTTGGTTGATTTCCGAAGATCATCACATAGGATCTCACACAATCTGGTCACCTTAGATCAAGATATCTTGACTATCGAATCGTACTTTTCAGTGCTTTCTCGTAACAGCTTTATTTCAGTACTTATTTCTGATATTAGGTATTTTTGCAATAATACCGGCAGCCAAAACATTGTAGCTCCCCAGACAACCCAAAAAGGGAAAATAAAGGGGTAAATGCTTTGGTAGCGAAAGGGGAAAACACATCAGAATGTCGCATTTTTCGCCTGTCCAGAGGAAATAATGTGGATTTCCCCCTTTTTCGCCGTTTTGTCGATAAATTACTCACTTTTCGCCTAAATATCCCCCAAATTACCGAATTTTCGCCTAACTGTCCGCAGAATTGTTTACTTTTCGCCTAAATGTCTGCTGAATTGTTTACTTTTCGCATAAATACACACAGAACTCCCTATTCTCCATCCATTAACATAACCCCAAAGGTCTACTATGTTCACCTTTATTTTCAACAACAGACCAAAATAAATCTGCAATACAGTGAAAGACCGGCATGTTTTTGAAAAATTTTATTTAAAAGGTGAAGCGTATTATTGTACAACACTAGAGGAGAAGCTTAAGCATCGATTGTTTTGCATATCCAATGCAATTGCTAATTCATTGTTATTTGAAATTATCTGCAAAAGAAGAAACACGTGATGTATTATTTATAAGGAATGTGCATTTATTCAAAAGTTCACTGACACTCAAACACACATTCTCAACACTTCTACAGTTTCCCATGTAAGTAAAAAAGTAAGCTGTTTGAAAAATATTTATTGAAATGTAGGTAGAACATCAAAACAATTGCACGGCTATTGAGAATTGAGGTAGTCGTCCCGTGAATTCAGAATTTAAAAAAAGAAAAAAGTCACAACCATATCTCAATGACATGCTTTGGTACAGCCAAATACTTGTGTACATCTACACAAGAGGTAGTAATGCTATCTTAGCTTCGTCTTTGGTAGAATCTCCACATAATTATACCTCTACCGCATGATTATGATTTATTTCCTGCAATACAATCATCTGATGGCTAATATATCTAACTGTAGAAGGTGATATTAACATCTTAATATGTGTTATTATCATCTATAGCATATACATAATATTTACAACACTCAGGACACCTTATGTTTTCACTATAAACCTATTTCTGCCATAAAAGTCGAACAAAACAGTGAAAATCAGCAGAAATTGTGATAAAGATAGGAAAAACGATAAATCTTACCATGGTATCGTTAGTTGTAACGCAGTTTTGGTAGCCTTGACGACAATACAATTTTTATGACGATATATGCCTGAATCTTCCTATTTCATATAAAAATAAAAGATTTGTCGACCATCAGTGTATACCTAAGTAGAAATAATTGCTAATCTGCGATGCAAACATCGAAAAACTATTATAGCAGCACCTGATTAATGAATTTTCAAGGACTTCACGATACCATGTAACGCAAAATGGAAAAACACCTTTTTACCTAATTATGAAAACGGAAAATAGACTTTCAAATTTATTCATAATGTATTTCCAAATTTGGTTGTGCACAAAGCAGAAATGAAAAAGTAGCGCAAAAAAGTGTCGCGATACCCCTGGAGCGCTGCCCACCCTTGGTTACGCACCTAGTTGTAAAACGCGGTCATCACAGGCTCAAGGTCATGCGTTTGATCGATTTTGTTAAAGAGTCCAACTTCTAGCAAGTTCACCCTTTTACATATATGCATTACAAAAGAGTATTTTTTTGTTTTCATGGTTTTTCGTGCACAAGATATCTACACTATGTCTATTCTCTTCCAGAATACCAATCCGTTCTGGAGACCAAGCACTTACATGGAACCGAACAATTATCAATTACATTTATGTATTTCCATTTTGTATCTTATTATTTTATGCAGGCAGTGGAGCAGTTCTTCAGGTTTGCTTGATTTTCACCATTACCTTTGAAGTAGATTCTTCTTTACTTTTTACTTGAGGGCGACTCAAGAGGCAGGTGAGTAAACACCTGATAGCCGGTCTGAGCATGGAAAAATCGTACCTCACCAACATGGTGTTGGGTAGCCCGCTCGCGGCACTTCCTCAGATATTCTTATTCCACATTCTCACACTCTTTCTCCTGAAAGCACTCAGTAAACCGTCAGCGATAGTTGTAGAATAGATCACATGCTACAAAATAAGATGACAAGCTAGTAAATGAGGAGACATCCATGGACTATCGTTGACAGCGTTAGTCGTCACTGATTGTAAGTCAAATAGTGAGCGAGTTGATAATTTTCCCTTGGGATGAGAAATAGAACTAAGCTGTTTTCGATAGTTAGGTTAATCGAACCGACGTTCCTACGGAAGTCGATTCTAGGGGGAAGCTAATGTAACAGCTCAGGTTGGTTGGTTAAGAGTTGACCCCAAACAACCAAGCTTATGCCAAAACAGTATTGTTCAAGTATTCATTCACTTCCTTATTTTTTATAAGCGTTATATTCCCTATTATCTTGAATGTTGAGAGCCTTTGTTTGTCTGAACAGATAATCCCACGCTCCACTGTGACTGCGTGAAGATCGAAATAAAGACCTATTCACTACTTGTCTGGTTTCTTCTATCAATAGCACGAGGGTTACCTTAAGGCACGAAAAATTCACGACCTTCGATGTAGTGTCGGAAATGCCGTACAGCACAATACATAGCTAGGAGTTCCCTACCGAATGTGCTGTACCTCGATTCGGTGTCTAGCAACCTTCTAGAGAAAATTGCCAAGGGTTGCCAGGAGTTGTTAACCCATGGTTGTAAGACGCCGCCGATTTCTGAGTCGGATGCGTCTACTGCGATGCTAATGGGTGCTCGGGTGTCCTGGTGTGCGAGCATTGTTGCTTTAGTAATTAGTTCGTTAATTGTGGAGAATGCATTTTGTGTGGTGTCGTCCAAATTGATGGATTTCGTATTTCCACGAAGTTGGTCGGTTAGCGGTTTCATGAGTAATGCGCATTTCGGTATGAAACGTCTATAAAAACTTACCAGGCCGTTGAACGTGCGTAATTGCTTGACGGTGGTCGGTTCTGGGTAATCCAGAATGGCCGCCACTTTGGTTCTAAGGGGTCGGATACCTTGAGCATTGATAGTGTGTCCCAGAAAGTCTAATGAGTCGGTCCCAATTTGGCATTTCTGAACGTTTACAGTAATGCCATGTTTTTGTAGTCGTTCGAAAACAAGATCCAGATGCTTGAGATGTGTTTCTCTGTCCGGACTTGCGATTAGACAGTCGTCAACATACGCATGTACGAAGTTGAGACCTCGAAAAACATCGTCTATGAATCTTTGGCATGTTTGAGCAGCATTCCTTAGACCGAAAGGCATTCGCAAAAATTCATAGAGTCCGAAGGGAGTTATGATAGCTGTTTTCGGTATGTCGTCAGTAGCCATAGGTATTTGGTTATACGTTTTAACCAGGTCGATTTTCGAAAAGACAGTTGTACCTTTCAAGGTAGCTGTCAAATCGTGAATGTGAGGCAACGGGTAACGATCGGGAATGGCTTTTGCATTTAATCGCCGATAGTCACCAGTTGGACGCCAATCGTTGCTGTCGTTTTTAGGGACCATGTGCAACGGAGATGCATATGGGCTACTTGACGGTCGTATGATTCCTAAGTCTATCATGTGATCGAATTCGTTTTTCGCTAACCTTAGTTTTTCAGGAGCTAGTCGTCGTGCTTTAGAGAATACAGGTGGTCCTGTAGTCGTGATGTGATGTGTAACGTTGCTGGTTACACACGGTAGTTTCGGTTGAGTTTGTTGTATCCCAGGATACTTATCGAGCAGTGGTTGATAGAGTGGGTCTATCATATGCTTAACTGTGACGGGATAATCTGCACCCACAGAAGGAAGTTACGCAAACGGACAAATTAGTGTTTCCGTCTACTGTCCGCGAACTTTGAAAGTGGTGGCAATTTTTCACGTGGTTTAGGAATTCTTCGACTTGCTCTTTTGTAGGGTGTATTATACTTTGATTATCATCCCATCCTGTACATCGATACATCTTACTCCGAAAAATAAGGAGAAAACTTATTTTTATTCGACGGACAATTGCCAGCTCGTATTTTACCTATTGCGGACTTAACTCGTAAATAGATCTGCAATTTATTATATACTCATAGTCTCTAATCCTAGTATTAACCAGGTTAATACTTAATAACAACTAATACTCAGATATTATATTTAATTTAACGAGCACTGTGCTCGCTTATATTCATA